TTTTTTTTTAATTTATACTATTTTGCATGGTGATTGGGAATATGTAAAAATTTTGCCCCGCTAGCACTTAGTTTGAAAGTTACATACTTTTATTGTTCATAGATATCGACAAGTGTCTAGAAGTTGTTGTAAAATAACGTTATTTTCACAGTAAATAGAGTTCTTAATCTGTGCTTAAGCGTGTTTAAATTTTCAATAATTCTTTTCACTAAATGTCTATACAAATTGGTGAATTTAGCATTTTTAATTATAAAGAACCTATTATTTTCTTTAATATTCATAAACATAAATTAACTTAAAAATGGTCTAGCGTTTTATGGTACCAAATTCAATGTTAGACGTGTACATCAAATAGACATGCACATTGGTCAACAATTTTTCCAACAAAGCCATTCTTTTAAACAATATTTTTATACATCGAATATTTATTATTTATATCAGAGTGAAATTGCACCTTGTACTTAATGGACGTGCGCTCTCGCAACACAAACGAGTCTCATCAAAATCTAACAAGATTTGCGACCATAAAAAGACAAATTAAGTGCGATTAACTCTAGGTATAATCAAAGTATTCATTCTAGATGATAATGATTCAGACTATGGTAATGCAAATGTTGGACAAGTATGATTGTTATTTGTAGGTTTTTGTGTTGCATTTGAGTCCTAAGGTCCTAACTAAATCTAATTAGAACATTCAAATTACAATCATTCGACTTATTTAAACGATATTTTTATTAGATTATATTATATAAATTACATTAAAAAGTACATATTTAAACAACAAGGCTAATGTACCTAACAAGAGTTTTAACTTATCACCACAGGAGCAAACACTGGCAAAAGCGAACGGTTTGTATAATACTATATGATGTAGACAATACAACAATCAAAATTATGATTATACCAATACATTACATACAGAACATTATAACCCTATAAATAAAAATAGTAACGTTATATTCCAAAAATACATATTTCTAGAAAATTCTATGACCAAATTGCATTTTTTTTTCAAAGGGCAAATCATTGTAAAACTTACACCTACCATTCCCTCAGCTCTGTATCAAAGCTACAATATGATAACTTTTTTTGGTGTTTAATTTATATATTTTGCCAGGTAGGTATTGTTATACTTTGTATTTATACATTTACAAGGCTAACATCGTGATAAATGTATTTAAGTATTAATAACAAATGACAGCTCTGTTGTGGTTTGTTAATACCAATAAAATATATGACAATTTTTGTGTTGAAGACACTTTTCAGTGTTGAGTGTTAAGGGGATGGGTGTTAACTACAAATTACTAATAATTAAAAATATCATGTTGCTTAATTTTATTTATGAATATAAATAATATTTATAATCATGTCAAATTGAAATAATTTAATTATAGGTAAATACACATTTCTATTTATTACAAAATCAGTCACTAGTTATCATTGCAACTGTCAGCTTGTTTATCCTTTTCATCCATACTTAAATTTTTTTCTTCAATTTTTCGTTAGCTAAAGTTCGGATAGTATCTTCGAAGTCTAATGATTTTAATAATTCACTCCCGATGCTCAAAGTTCCAAGATTTTAGTATTTTAGTTCGGAAGTTATATTTTATTGATATAAATATTAATGCAACACTATCATTATGTGGTATTAGGCATTGTTGGAACTTTAATACAATTTTTATCTTTTTAACAATACTTTATTTTCAGCAAAAGTATTAAAATCTATATACATTAAACTAGAATGCCATTATTTAAGACCTTGACCTAGTCATGGTAGCCTTAAATACCGGTCTAGTGGTTTGAACAAAAGCAACATTTATTTTTAAAAATTGCATGTTTTCAATAAAGAAATCACATTTGAAAATCATTTACTTCGCTTTTTTTTTGCATTAAATAACTTGAAGCGGAGACCCATCTATGTCCAATACACTTGTTATGGCCTTTTTTAAATCTTTATAGTTTTGTTCAGTTGAATATTATCATTAGAAGTCAACACTAATTATAAAAAAAAATGTTCTGTAACTTTTATTACCGTGATCTCCACTCTTGATTTGATACAAAATCAATCATGAAATTTCTACTCAATAGTTGGTACAGAAATATAGGAATAAAAATATTTATTAAGATATTTTCATTAAAAATCATGTATTATATTTTGTAGTATGACAGTTAAATCGATAGCCATAATATTTCATAATATAAAATATTGGCTATACTGTAACGGACTATGCTCTCCGAGCACATGCGTGATTAACCTTCTGTAGTACTTGAGCTCGTGAGATCTATTATTTTTAGATAATCTAACCAAAAAGCCCTTTTTTATGAATTTAGGGGGATTAATTGTTTAATCGTCCGACTCGATGTTATATGCCAGTGGTTAAAAACTAATAAGGCAAGTAAGGCCTATCTTTTATGATTATTATTATTTAGAACTTCTGTAAAAGAGTCCGCCGCCCACAATCGATTGTTAAGTAATGGCTATCAGTCTCTTACAACTTACATGAATACCTAGTGTTAATTAAATCGCAACATTGTTTACGATTTATTTTCGACTAAAACAAGTGTCGGCTACACTACTGTTCTTTTATTTGTAGTTCGGTGGAAATACAGTTCTGTTAGTTTGTGTTTTTGGTAATTTATTTTTCGGCAAAAATACGGTTCTGCCGATTTGTTTTCGGTTTTTTATGCGACTCGCCTATAACTACATTGTATTTATACAGAAGGTACGATCATTGTTATTGCACCAACACTTGATTTTGTTCATTTCAGTAACGTACACGAATCCAACAATTTGTCATATCATAACAGGTAATATGAGTAGTTAAGCTATAAAAAAATAATAGTTTTTACAATCATCACAGTAGACATACCATATATTATCTCAAATCAAAATTTTGCAATCAGATTCTACAAAATCTCCAAGTTCTTTTAACACAAAAAATGTCTGATTCGAATGTAAATTGAAAAAAAAATATGCATTAATAAGTACAATATGTTTATGCCGGTCTGGGTGGAACTGATAAACAAATTTAATATAGTTACACGGATTCAAATTTTTTTGAAATTAGCGTTTCACAATTTATTCGAATGAAAAAAAATTAAAATAATTATTTTTAAAACTATTCGAATAAAATAAAATATTTCTATATAATATACTGTTTTAATATATTTCCTAAATGTAGAATGTATTAGAATCCTACGTAATAATATTTTCAAACACAATTTCTTGAAAAAAACACATACAAAATATTTAAATAATATTTTTTTAAATAATTATCCGTATTATTTTTTTATTCGAATGAAAAAATTGGATATTTATCGAATAAATCTTTCTAAATTTAATCGAATAATTCTTTTTAATTAAAAAATTTTTTTTCTATATTTGAGGCGCTCAGATGCTAAGCCGATTAACTCCACTTTTTTGAAATTTCGAAAAATAGTAGGGTTGGATTAAAAATTAGTAGGGGTACGCTAAAATGTCTAAAAAACGGGTTATAAATCGAATGGTTTGCAAGGTATATTCAAGGTTTTAACATAGGTTTTACATATTATATTTTAACAGCTTGCGTACAAGTACACAACACCACGGCATACATTTTTATGTATCTAAGGTGGCTAGTAAATATATCAAGTTTCTGGCTAATATTTTAGTGTTTTTATAATATCTGGCCCAAAACAATTCATAGAGAATCTCTCACCCCCTATCTCTCACCCCCAATCAGCTGTTATTTTTCTTTGTGATAACCAGTGTCGGTGTCGTTTTTCCGTGTGTGTGCCATAGCAAAGACAGAAAAATGTCAAAAGTAAAAATAATTTTACTACAACAATTTGCCAATCACTAGCGCATTTTTTTAAAAATGTCAATTACTTTGAAAACAGCCGAAAATTAACTACAGTATTAAATAATGTTAAACGTCTTAAATTTTGTACTAAAAAGAAAAGCTTGGGACATATTCAAGTTAAGGGCAGAATAAAAAGCGGAGTGTAGTATTATTTTTATCTACGTCTATTCCTCCGCCTCCGCCTCCTAACTTTTAAAATCTAAAATTAAATTTAATATTATTTGATTATTGTTTTTATATATTTATTCGAAAAAATATTTCAAAAGTTAGTCGAAATAAAATATATTAATCTATAATTTTAAAAACTGTTCGAATAAAAAATAATTTGATTAACTTCTACTAAAATAATTTGGTATCTAAATGTTAGACTTATGTAATGTCTTATTCGAATGATGCACAACTCTGAATTTGTACTTCGTGTTGGATTGATTTGGGCTACTTAAATGACAATCGAATTTAGAAAAAATAAGAATAATATAATTTATGAAGTCCTTTAATAAAAAATAGAAATTATTTGCTGTTTTCATCCCAATGACGTGACGTGGCCAAATTACTTAACTCCTTTTTTACAAAAGACCTACCTAAAGTGTGAAAAATTTAAATATACAATAATTTTGGATAAGGACAAATTTAGGATGGACATTTTTTAAGAACATTATCCGGAAACAAACATACTTCATTTGTGTTCTATATTCTGTTTCTTGAGTGGGATGATAATATAATAATAATTTTTATATGATATCCATGTTAGGGTGGTTGACAGGTTTCTTTAATAAGGTTTTGGTATATAGATGGGAAAATGCCGGAATTGTAGATGAAAAGTAATCTGGTACCAATATTTAAGGGCAAGGAAGATGTGCAGGAGTGTGACAATTATAGAGGTGTAAAACTGATTAGGTATGAAGGTTTGGGAAAAGATGGTAGAAAAGAGAATATCGAAGATATTCAATTTGGGGTTTTGCCAGGAAAATCAACTATGGAATGATTAGGGTGGCCGACCCCATGTAGTTGAGAATGTAAGGCAAAAAGATAAAGAAGATATGGATTATCCATTTTATAGTTCTAGAATATTGCAAAAAGTACCTTTACTGTAATTTTGTGCAAACACATATGTTATGTATTACTATTGAATTTGACATAATATTATTTTTTTTTTAGATATCGATTGAAAATGACTAAGCTACAAGTTTTCTGTATTTTTGCGGTGACTATTTGCATTGTTATAAACAATGTAAAATGCGCAACGGAAGGCGGTATGACCTAAATATTTGAATCATTTTTTTATTAAATTTTTTCCGTAGTTTATAACAATGCAAATCATTGTTATAAATAATATAAAATGCGCATCGCCAGACGGTATGACCTAAATATTTGAATCATTTTTTATTTTAAGACTCATATTTATCTATTAAACAATGTACAGATTTGTTTTAATATTTTGTACATTTTAACATACACATGATATACATTTTGAAAAATAATTATCAAGTTGTACTAATATTTTTATTGACAACTATTTGGATTGATCTTATTAGGTTTTTGTACGATTTTTAGTCTTAAAATTTTATTGTTGTATACAATTATAAACTGGTACTTAATTAAAACTTATAACACATATAGTTTTAACCAGCTTTTACCCCAAAATCCAGCTGGCTTAATTATGCAAAGTGATATCAATTACAATAAGACGCTGCGATGCAAATTTTGACACACTAGACCTCACTTTGACACTTACTAAATGTGCTTAGTTTGGACTGCACTGGATTAAACTTCCTACCCACAGATTCGCACCAAAGCTTTTATTTAAGAAGATTTTTATCACTTTCAGCTATAATAATTACTGTAGAACTGTGACCTCGATGACAATTTATATTTTACGAAATTATATGATAATATAATTTATTATTCCAGAATGTTGTGATCAGATTTGTAAGACCAGTGAGTTAAAATTATTATAATTTTTTTTTGACATTTTTATGTCTTAGCTCTGGCACATAACCGAAAAAAGTGTTACCAAAAAAGAGTTACCAAAAAAACGTAACGAAAAAAGGAATGGGGATGGGATGTGGATGAATATGGGGTTCGGAGTGGAAGATAGGGGTAGGAGATAAGGGTGGGAGATAGGGGGGATAGTTTGGGGTAAGAGATATATTGTATTCACAACGATCAAATTAAAACTGAAAAATAAATTCAATGTTATTTAACAGGTCATATTTCCTATGAATTGTCAGATATCAGCCAAAGGCCAGATATTATGAAATCACTAAACTATGAGCCAGAAACTTGATATATTTACTAGCCACCTTAGATACTAGCTTGTTATTATACTATTTCATTATTTATAATTCCACCACTACTCTAAATATATTCGGTACTTCAACGAGACATGAAAATGCTCTTTCGTGGTTGCCGACTCGGCTGAAAAACTTTTTTTTTAAGTCATTTAGGCAATTTGTAACATTATTTCATAATATGTCATTGAAAATGTATTAATTTGTATACGTTATATTGTGTTAATTTTTATTACAAATTCATTAAATAATTTAACGCTTTGCCCTAATCACAAAACAAATAAAATTGCCTATTTATGTTTTATTACTAACATTTAATCTGAACTGACATGTGCTACTTTAATGTGTTTGTGACCTTCAAAACGAGAAGATGTTTATATACGTTTTCCAAACAATATTTTTTTATATTGTAACGATCATATTTCACCTGACCGTTACTCCTCTAGCCAGCTAGACAAGTAGGTCCGTTACAATATACAATAAATTATGCTTTACTTCCTCTTTTAAACTATTATAGCTATTATAGCTAACTATTAAGTCAAAAATATATAAGTAAACGTGACTCAAAAATTTAACTTTAGTTAATAAAAAAAACACTTTTAACCAATTGAGTAACCTCGAATACATAACCTACACATTTTTTATTTTTTGTATTTAATAGTGTACATTTTTAGCAGTTATAGTTTTAGCCAACATTCGGCTAGTGGTTTAATAAAATAATAGACAAAATCAGTGTAGAGTGTTGCAAGCTAATGATAGTACAAGCAACCATTACATAGTTTTGTTAAACAACCTTTTTTTTATTTGTGTATCTGGCCTCTTATGATTGCTTTGACTACATTGTGTATTGTATTTGTTAATTATTTAAAATTTGTTTTTAGACCACATACTTAGATATTTAAATGACGGTGAGTGTTTATATAGTTAATACATATAGTATATTATAATTAAGGGAAAAAAATAAAATAATTTTACCGAAAATATGATTTGGCAAAAATAAAAAATAAATAAGCACAGTCTAAACTCTAAACGGCGCCATACTTTTAATGTAATAAGGCAGAATTATTTTATCTCACCATGTTTAGATTTTCCAGTTAATTTAAACAATTTCCTGCATTTACTCGTATATTGTTAATAATTGAAAATAATACTAACTAATCCATAATGGTCACTTCATAATTTTTATATATATATGTCTCCTAAATTAGTACAATATGATATAACTTACAGTATGAGCTACTACTTAACTATCATTGTATTTAAAAGATGGATGTTAGGTCATGTACCTCTTTTAAACGTGCTCTATCTCTTTCTACAATAGCTTCATTTCATTGTTAATAAAAGTCATGATTTTCTTCTTCTCTTTAGTTCATGGCCTAATACTTCTGCGGATCTTTTGACTGCAGTTTACATTTATTTTCCAAATGTAATTTATATCCGTAGGTAACATTATCTGAGGCATCTAACTACTCAGTTATTTTTCTTTGTAATCATTGGCCTGGTTTTCTTTCAATAGTTCTTTGTTAATTTTCTGTGTACACTTATCATTATTAATTTGGATCTTTCTATCTATATACTAAATTTGACCTTGGCTCTCATCATGAAGTCATCAGAAAGTGCACTACTTCCCCTCATGCTTTTTACGTCGTTTATGCTTAATCTAATTCGGTAGTTTACCATTACATGATCTATTTGATCTATACGTGTTTTTAATATATTTTGACTTTTTAAATTAGTTTGTGTTAGCTTTCAAGGTATCGGTTTAATGTATGCAATTGTTTTCATGATTTATTTAGTCATTTTTGTAGTGAAAATTGACTTTGATATGAGTACACATAACACATCTTTGTTAAAATTCCCCAAACTTCTTCAATCTCCCCTAGAATTATTGACAATCTGTACTATGCATACCACACTTTAATGTTTTATTAAATATTGAATGGTAATTGCTAAATTTATTTAACGAATTTATTAATAATTTATTTTGTTCTTTGATTCCAGATGAAAAATACGAACTGGTCAACGGTCTCATTTGTGCATACTCATATGGTATTGTTATGTGTAAATTATTATTTTTGTTTTCAGTAAACTTTTTTTACAATATTAGGCTATTAAATTGCCATTGCTTACCGTATAGTTTTGTTGTACTATCAATACCGTTTGTCATGTTGTATACTTTATCAGTACATTTAATAGATCATTTAAAAATTGATGTCTAAGGAACCGTTAAATTTGTATTAATTCATTAAACGTTCACGCAACTCGCATGCACCAATTTTTTTTTTTTTTTAAACAAATTATTTGTGTTTTTTTTCAGCGCAAATTCAGGTTTTGATTTTTCCGCCAGGTAATTTACAATTGTTTTATACGATTAGGTAATATTATAGACCTACAAAGTAATGAACTGGGCCTACCACACTGCACCTCCCATTCTAACTTAAAGTTTAAATAACATTAAAAGAAATGATTAAAAACTTGTTATCAACGAGTCTAAATATTCATCAAATAATACATGGTCATCTTGAATTTTAAAGAAAAATGTTACAAAAATTATTGAAAACCAAAAACAGTTTTCAATAAAAAAAACGTCGTTTTTATTTTAAATGCAAATGAGTATAAATGTATTTAAAAAACAAATCATACACCATTCAATTGAACAAGAGTTCTCTCATTTTTCTAATCTTTGTGAGACATCCTGTATTACACAGTATTCTTTGAAATGTTGTTAGTAATGTGTATAATATATATAAATATATATGTTATTGTAAGTTATTACTATTAGGTATGTTTGAATGAATATCCCTCACAAATCTGCATCCAAGATTGAAAAAATTGATTAGTTTTTGTGATATCAATACCTTTTCAGTTCTTCTTTTAAGCTATAACTAATATGTGTAATATGTATACATGTATATAATCAAAATCACAATGTTTAATAATAATACAAATTATATTACTATTAGTAATATACCTATGATCGATGTTAAATGGAATAAGATGATACGACTTGCCGATGCATGATATTCTTTTTATCTGATCTTATTTTTACTTAAATTGTGCGTCGAATATCAAGTGTTATTGTGTATGTTTTCTAGTTCTATAACACTACACATTTATAACTAACAAACTATTTAGAGGATGTCCGTAGTTCTACATGTTAATATACTAAAGATTTACTTTTAAATTGTTTTTTTTTCTAAATTTACCAGTTTTATTATTAATTAATTATTATTACAAGTTAGTAAATTTGTATCAAAACAAAATTTGATTAAACACAAAATGTACATAAAAGTTTCATTTTTTAATAAAAAAGATTTTGTCGATTACTTAAATATATATGGCACGTTTTGACAGTAACATTATAAAATCGAATCTTTTTTTCAGTTCCTGATTTATTGGCAAGCAGAGGCAGGGCGGGAGGTAAAAAATTATCGCCCGCATAACTTATAATTAATAGTAACTATGATTATTAATGACGTTTTTTTGTGATATTTTATGTTAGGCAGTGTAATTTTACATAAAATGACACATTTTAATGGGGAATGTTTTGATTATAGCTTTTGATTCAATAATATCCCAAGAACGGACTATACTATACTTTATTACAGGACAAGAGCCAACAACTTATTTAAGTAGTATGTATAACAGTTTTCTCCAGAACAGTTATTTAGGTAGTATTTGAGTGAATATTACAGTTGTACAATATACTATAATATAGACTATATTAATAATGGTCAATTGAAAAAGTTGAAAATTCTTATTTATAATTTACATAGTATAACTTTAACATTAAAAATAAAATTAAATACATCATCTGTATGATATTATAGACCTAACTGACTTTGACACGGCAGTAAACAACAGACATTCTGTTGTACGTAGAATATTCAACTATGTTCTACATCAAAGAATGAGTAAGCATTTTTATAATATATATTTTAAAACGTCGTTAAACCCAAACTTTGGCATATACATAACCATAACCTATGTGTAGGTAATTAGTACTTATGGGTAAAAAAAAAAAACTTTTAAATGAGTAGAACAATGACTGTAGACTGAAGTCCAGCAATAGCAACCACATGATTCAAGCAAAAGCTAATGTATTTATTTTTTAACACTTAGCTAGATCCGGAATAACTATTTTATATGTTTTTTATTACTTCTTGTCATAAATTTGTAATATTTAACCATTGTATTTCTATTCAATAATTATGTCGTATGGTTTCAGATCACTTCCAAATGTGCGTGAATGACGAAGAAAAAAAATGCAAATTGCTCGGAATAATAACGCGTGCATTAAATCCTGGGTTTAGATTTACACAAAGATGTAATGAAGTATTAAGATGCGTTATAGTATTGGAAGAGATGATTACGGCAGACGGCGTTGTATCAATCGACCAGAAACGTGTGGAGATTTATGTAGATCAACTACTTTCGTCAGGATTGTATAAAACAGAATTTGAGGCAGTTATAGATTAAAATCTAAATATCCATATATATAGATATCCATGTATAACTATATTCATTAATAAACTATTATTATAACCAATACTGTCGTCGTATAGCTGTTATTATTTCATACATTAGGAAAAACACCAGCACCGCAACGGTTGGATCAAAGGAGTATTCAGAAATCAATATAAATAAGATGTTAGACAATAATAGTGATATTTTAACCCTTAACTGGTATTATAGGGTTCAAGAATAGGACAAGAAAAATATTTGTTGCTCTGACCGATTATAATATCAACTTACTTTTTGATGATGAAATTTCAAAAATTGTACTTGATAAAACTAATGGATAAATTACGGAGTTGAGCGAAAAATATGCCATATTGTTCGCTATGATAATTTTACATTCATTTTATAAAGTTTAAATTTGTTTCTCTATAAAAACAAAAAAAAAGAGGTGACTTTTTATTGAAAAGTATATTAGACTGGCCGTTAAAAATAAAAAGTTTGCTCCCACTTGAAAAATATAAAGTTGACATAAAAAAAAAGAAGATCCTGAAAGTTCTAACGCTCTATCTCTATATTAAGGGGTGCCGGTAAACTGTTTTTGTTTTTTCATATAATACGATTTTAATGATTTTTGACCTTGATTTTTACGGTATTTGTGACGATTAAAATAAAATTAATATTAAACAAATAAATTTGGAATTAGAGATACTTTTTACTCAAATATTTTCAGGTCCTAATGATGGATCATTTACCATGGTTTCAAAAAAATTTAACTTTGACTTAAGTCTGTAAAAAGTTCTCTTTCTAATGTTGATTCAGATTATAGATATTTTTCAGTAATAGTCAATTAATAAAACCCAGAAAAAACGAATGTAAAAAATTATTTTATTTCAAATAATAATGTTTACTTATCTTTTTTATTACTGTGTGTTTTCTGGAGTCCGGGAATTTTTTCCTATAATCTGATAATACCTGCATTAGAAACTGCTTTTGTCCTTAGTCTCTTGATAAGATATTTGCGTAGCCTTGTACCAAACTCATTCTGCAGTAACATTGACAATTTTTAATCCCTTAACAAAGTTTAGACTTTTCTCAAATTGTTCGTCTTAATAATTTTAAAACTGTCCAATCATACAGTAATCTGAGACATATCTTAGATATTGAAAGAGAATTTATTTTTCTCTTAAGTACTCTTTATTACTATTAAGTACCTATGTCATTTGGGACTTTACGTTTTTATGCTTATCTATGTATTTCCTAATACGCAATAACTTTCTATAAACACAAGTTATCCTAGTGCTGAACCTGTTTTTCTGTTGTTTGTTACATTTACTTAATTTGCATATTAGTATATAAGCCAGGCTTTTACTACATTTATCTATGATATAGTTCGTTATTACGGTCAACCATTGTCTATTTAAGTGCTTATTTTATTATTATTAAAGAG